TTTTCTCGGTGAATTAGTAGTAGCTGCTTCATTGGGTCCATTATTAGAACGTACCGGTGTAGAATATTGTATGATAGTAGGAACAGGATTTGCATTAGTGGGTAATGTATGTATGTTTTTCTTGTTTCAATTTAAAAAATAAAAAGAGTGTTCGAGAGTGATTTTGTTTTTGTTTTGTTTACGTATATGTGATAGGTGAAAGTAATCTTCAGATAATTAATTAACAAATACATTGTATTTCATGATTCTTTTTTTTTTATTTTTGTAATATTCAAAATGCAATTTTTGTGATGATTATATGAAGGTGGTGTTTTTGTATGTAAAATCATTTATCTTTTTTATAAGAATATATTGTTAATGCGTTATAATTCTGTTTTTGTTCTTTGTGTGCATTGCATTTCTTATAAATATATTTATATATATATAGTTCACGTTTTTTTTTCAGTTGAAATAAATGAATTATTTAATTACAACAAAAAAAGAAAAAGAGAATATCAATCTATCGGTTGATTTATTTTCCTATGATGATTAATTGTTGTGTTGTAACAAGCTTTTGATGATTTATGTACATGCAAAACTGATCCAAAAACAAAGGCGGAACAAGCACGACTCTAGTACTTTATCATACTTCATTCGTACTTCGAAGTACCGACGTCGTACTTTTCTATTACTGTTCGAAAAAGATTGTGTTAGTTCGCGAAGAAATCAAATTTACATACGGAAAATAGCGAAAACTACTTTGTTTCGGATTTTTTTCAAAAGAATTTTTTCATAAGAAAAAAACAAGTGTAGAAACATCTGCGTTGCTCCACCATGGTACGTTCAACTAACTAGGGAACATTCCCAGGTGCCTGAGTGCTTTCAAATCGAGACTAAGCGCATCTTATAGACCTTAATGAGCTGTGTCTATGGTAAAAAAAACTTCGTACTTATGGCTTGTTTTGGAGGAGATCGACTATTCTTACTTTTACAACTGTAAGAGCTGTTTTATTAGGAAAAAAGTACTATCTCAACTAATACCGGGTGCCACAAAAATTTTGCAACATTTTGTGTTTTGCATATAACTCAGTTCATACAAAAGATAAAATCTTCAATTTAATTTTGAAAGATGTGCAATTTAATTCTCTACAAACTTGTATTTAGCTTAATTTGAAATAATAGACTTCAATATTTTTATGGATCAAATAATGTGATCATATGAATTGCGTCTACTTCCCACATGTTTTTTTATTAGATTATTTTTTTTATGTGGACGTATATTTCGCTTTTAAAAACGTTGATTGTCAGATGGCTCTCGAAAGGTTCGGTCGATTGCTTATATAAATAACATTCAATCTTTCTATTAGACAGAATTTTTCGTAAAGCAATATTTTGAGAACCGTAAAATTCCCTTTCAATTATCCATTTCGAAAAAAGTACCTCTTAAAAACGTGTTCGTTGACCAACCGAGTTCATTTTTACAGTACTTTGTAACAAACAGACTTCTCTTTCTACTCGAAGTTCAAAAAAAATTTTTATAAAACAGTTCAATCGGCAGCAGAATCTGAATGTTACCAAGGATGCTGCTTTCTGCTGCAGCATACCTAACAGATCATTTTTATTAGACCCAAATAGACTCTAATCGAACATAGACAATTTATTGTAAAAGAGCATTGATATATTATAGTATAGTTGATAATTAGTTTTTTTAAGCGCCTGTTTATAACACGAGATAGTCAGGAAATATATAGTCAAAAAAACGTGTGGAAATTAGATGCAATTCATCTAATCATATTATTTGATCCATAAAAATGTTGAAGTCTATTATTTCAAATTAAGCTAAATACAAGTTTGTAGAGAATAAAATTGCGCATCTTCTAAATTTAAATTCAAGATTTTATCTTTTGTCTAAACTGAACTATATGCAAAACACAAAATATTGCAAAACTTTTGTGACATTCGGTATGAGTTGAAACAAGCTAATGAGAAAAGGTCCTCAAGTGTGAGACTCCGTTTCGAATCTGATATTTTCTATTTTGTAGAGGTTAGTGAATACAATATGTGATATAAAGAATTCATCCCCATTCTAGACTTTTAAGAGTCCACAAGGTACCATAAAAGATGTCCTATAATAACTACTATACAGTAAAAATAGTGAAAAAATCGAGTATGAAAACTTATGTATTTCAATCTTGTTGATGTGTTTCATCACTAATTATAGCTCAAGACCTGAAACTTTCAGAAATAAAAGATTTTGATTAGATATATATGTGATAAAAATTTCAGCCCTCTACATAAAGATAAAATATGACAAATATCATCAGCAATTCATCTCTAGTTATTATGGGATACGCTTTATGATACCTCGTAGTCCCTTAAAAGTCTAGAATAGAAATGAATTCTTTATATTGCATATTGTATTCATTAACCTCTACAAAATGGAAAATATCAGATTCGAAACGGAGCCTCTCTCACACTGGAAGACTTTCCCTCATTAACTTGTTTCGACTTATATTAGTTGAGATAGTACTTTTTTTCTAATAAAACAGCTCTTACAGTTGTAAAAATAAGAATGACCGATCTCCTCCAAAACAAGTCATAAGCACAAACTTTTTTTTTTTATCATAGACACAGCTCGCTAAGATCTACAAGATGCGCTAAGTCTCGACTTGGAAGCACTCGGGCACCTGGGAATGTTCTCTCGTAAGCTGAAACTTTTTTATATATACTAGGCAGTGTTTGAGATATGTAATTTTTTTGTTATTTCAAAAAATATTAGTCTGCTGATTTTCGATAGCTCTTACAAAGCAAACTTTATTTAAAAAAAAAAATATGTGTCTGTTAGGATATCTTTGATATTTTAACTTTTTCATTCGAAGAACAAAAAATAAGGAGAAACTAAAAGAAAGCACCCACTCCAAATCGTGTCTAGTACCTGCAAGAAAATTTTCAGCTCGATCGAACATAGCATTTTGGAGAAACGGAGGGAGAGAGGCGAAAATTGAGGCCATTTTTTCGCCATTGTGATTCAAGTATCTCATAGAAGACAGCATCCGAGAATTCTGACTCTATGACAACTTTTGCTCTACTCATCTGAAAATTTCAAACTTTTCTGATGAGTCGTTCTGCAGAAATCTCGAAAAGCGCGGGAGTACCCTTAAATCACCCTTCTCACTTGTCCGATGTTAAAATCAAAATCAAATACCATACAAATGAGGACTTTTCATTGTTAGTTAGTACTTTTATTAAATTCAACTCTCAAAATCAATTTTTGAATATTTTTCTTCAAAATGTTGTTCGTACAGAATTTGGTAATCTTTAAAAAATTAGTTTCATTGAAAGAAATATGTTTTTGGACGGTATTTTCACCATTTTGCTTCTCCTGATCTTTAGGAACGATAGTTTTGAAAGAAAAAAAACACACACCTCAATTTGATCCTAATTGTTCTAAAATAAATTGCAACTCGAAAGAATGAAGTATCGGAGGAAAACCTCTGGCCATTTTTAGCTTTTGCGACTACCATTTCTCCATGAAAGATTTATCTAGGAATTTTCAGTCTATGACAATTTTTGCTCTATTTATTGAGATCTATCTGCCCTGGAAGTTTCATCATTTTTTGTTGTGTCGTTCTCGAACAACCCCGAAAGAACAGACTTCTTAATTCTAAGAAATGCGTTAGATTCACATGCTCACGATCCACATCTAAATCCGTAATTTTATTTTGCCGTAGAAAGATCGAAAGGAAACATATTGAAAAAAGTTATGTCTTTGGTAAATGCTGATTCTAATCGTGTATAGTTTATTATTGGTGCAAGAAAGAAAGAATTGCTATTCAATGCCATATAGATAATATTATAATAGTTTTATACATGCAATGGAATGTTTGACTGTTTGTCATTTACAATTACTAAACGGAAAAAATGACACTACTATTTCTTTCGCCTTTTTTTATCTCTTGACTTGTGTATGTTAGTTTTATGCTAAAAATAAAGAATGTCTTCTTAGTTGAAATTTTAAATATTTCATCATGATCCATTGAAAGGTTATAGGTGAAATACTAGATGATGAGAATATGGGTGTGGATTGTTGCTACGCAAATCAAGTGCATTTCTTAAAATTAAACTTCTATGTCATCTTCATAGAGCTATTAGTGTTTTTTTGAAGTCCATTGACTGACAATCTAATCATCACGTGACATTGTTGAATTATGCGCAGTAATACGATCTCTTTCGAACAGTGAAAGTTGCATCTGTCTATATTATTTCTATTAAAAGTTCTTCGAAAACAAAGATTGCTAAATGTTGTTTGGACTATCTTTTGATTGTTAGAACTCTTAGAATATCATGACTGTCGTTGAACAGTTAATTGAATGGAAACAATATTTTCTTATTAATTCTAAGTTAAAAGATTACATTGTATTTTGACTAGTTCATAGAAACAAATAAGAAATAACATACCTATTAACCATTTGTATTTAAATAAACCTGGGAATATGAAATACATTTGGGAAATGATTTTCATTAGAACATCAATAGAAACAAAAAAAAAGAACATGTCAGGTCAAATGTCAGTAATCTTAATAGTACAAGTGCAAACAAATCATGAAGTTTTCTAGTCACTGAAAAAAAAAAAGAAAAAGAGTTCGAAGCAAATTTTTTACTCCTAAACAATAAAAGTGTGTGAACATTTTGATAATCAAATCGAATATATATATAGTAATGGTTACCATTAAAGTACACATTTATTTATTAACAGAATGTATACAAAAAAAAAAAGAAAAGAAATCAATGAAGAAGAAAAAGAGAGAAAAAACAAATGAAATTTCATAAATAAATTGTAACCAAAAATATTCTTTTCTCATATAATAATATCGAGAAAAAGAAAGAAAGAAAGAAAGAAAAAAAACAATATTTATTAATAAATCGATGGGATGTAATCTTAACTTACAATCTAAATATATATATATGAAAAAAAAAAACAAACAATAATTTATTTTATTCAAACAAAATTCCTATGGATTTTATGTTAATGAAGTTTTTCTTTTTGGTGATTGTTGTAAAATTACATAATTATTCATTAAAGAATTAGCAGAAAATAATTTATACCAATCAAGAATTTGTTGAGATGAATTTAAATTAAGTTCTTTCAAACCTATTTGACATACACCCATAAATATTTTTCGATCTAATTTACTATAATCACCCCAAACACTTATCTATTAAAATTTCAAAAAAAAAAAGAATTCAAAGAAAAATAAAATTATTATTATTATTATTTTTTACTTGTAAAACTTTGTCTCGAAAATTTTCTTTAAAAGTAAGTGTTTGTTGTATAAGTGGATCAAGTGTACGACGTGTTGTACGAGTACGTTGTTTTTCAATACATGTTTTTCCATCGAGTAAATATATTTTAACAAAGGGTGCTATTTTATCAATCAATTAAAAGTTTTTTTGTTTTTTTCAATATAAAAATAACAAACCTGGAAGCATTTTATACATGACTTTTTCAAGTAAATTTCTTGCTCGTACTATTTCAACTTCAAGTAAACCTTGATGATCACGAAGACCTATTTGAATTTCACCATGACATGGAGAAGCTAGAACTTGTCGTCCAACTAATTGTCCTGCTCCTAAACCTTCGACAAATTCATTAAATTGATATTCATGTGGCAATTTAAGTCCACCAGACCATAATCTGAAAAAAAAATCAAAACAATAAAGTTGAATTATATTATTATGAAAAGTTAATTATAAAGCATTGATTATATTCTGTTATATGAAATTCCTTTCATTCTGAACATAATTTAATTGAAAGAATTCAAAATATCAATATAACTTATCTGAATATGAATATTATTAGAGTGTTAAAATGCTTAAAGAGTCTCTGAGAATAATTATCTCAATTCAAAATGAATCTTACTCGATATTATGAGGCATTGAATGATATTGATCACGTTGAAGTGATGTATTAAATGGTGATCGAGATGAATCTATTGGTGGAGCACTACTTGGTGTGTCTTTTTCTTTACTTATTTCTCGTTGTAATGTTCGACTACGTAAATGAGGTTGTACACCAATTTCTTCACTTCTTTGAAAACCATATCTTTTACCTATTAAAATAAAAAAAAAGAACTGTTAATTTAATATTTAATAATAATAATAATAGATTTTATATAACCAATATTTGTTGAACTATTTGCTTTTCTTGATAATCCAAGTATAACAAAAGCTTTTGATGACATTGATGGTCGTCGTTTTTTACTTGATTCTGTTTGTGAACTTAAAATTGAATCTGATACACTTCCATCATTCTTTTGTTCAAATTTAACTGTTTTTGTATTTAAAACAATAGGTAGTGAAATTGGTTTTATATCTATTTCATTGATTGTTGTTTTATCATCAGTATTTGAAGGATTTGTTAATGTATCATATGTACGCATAGCCATTTGTCGAAGTTCTTCTTCATTTAATTTATTTTCATCATCATGATGAAAATGATCATTTAGACGTGTAAGTATACTAAAGATAATCTTATACATAAAAAAAAAACAAAAAGTAAAAGAAAAATTCGATACCTATATTTTCGTATATTTTGAGGTCGTTCTGATTGTGTTGATAACATACTAGTTGAACTCATTTTTGAAGCTGATGATAATTCAGATCCATCGGAATCAACATCGTCACTATGTGTTTCCATAGAATCTATAATGAGTAGAATTTTTCACTTAAATAGTTAATTCAAAATTGAAAAATAAAAAAAAGAGAAAAGTTTTTTTTTTACGTCGTTTTGTAATAACTCGTCCATATTTATCTTCAAATGATTTTAATTTTGTTTTTTCTAGATTAATTTCATCTTGTCCAATTATCGTTGTTTGTCTTGATAATGTTGGATTTGGTGCACTTCTTTCTCTCATCATTGGTATACGTTGTGGTTTGTCTTTTGAATTTGTTCTAAAAGTAAGTTTTGATGATGATGATGATGATAATGATAAATTATTCATTGATTTTGTATTATTATCATCTATTCTTGATGTACGACCATCGCCATCGTACATTTGTTTTTCTATAGAATCTCTATGATCAAAACTACGTTGTTTTAATACAGATTTATCATTTCTTGATTGCATATGAAGTTGTAATTTTATTTGCATAGCTTTTTGAAATAATTCTTTTGAAACTAAAATATAAAAGAAAAAAGAAATAATGACAACTAATAAAAAGAAAGAAACGAAAACCTTTTTCTCCATTTGCATGTAGTTTTGCAATAGGAATATCTGGTAATTGTCTTTTACGATTGTTAGTAGTTGATGGGCTACAAAATAGATATAAACATTGATAATATATATAGATATATGATTGATTATCACTCTTACATGTTTGTTGTTGATGAATGAACACGATTGAATAATGATTCTAAATATAAATAAATATTATATTTACATGTTTTAAAGTATTTTATCTTAACAAACCATTTGATGTATCATTTAAATAAAACCATTCAGGTTTATTATTTAAATTTAATTTATTAAATTTAATTTCACCTAAAATTTCTTGATTATGTTCAAGATTAATTAATTTAATACATAATAAAATATTATCAATTGTATCAATATCAAAAAATATTATATGTTGATTCCATATACATATACCAGATGAACATGGTTGAGCTTTTGTACATTTTTCTTCTTTTGATCTAAAAGAAATTTGATTTATAAATGACATATGAAAATTTAATTTATTTTGATTTTTATTTTACAATGTGTCACTTCCATATTCTAATGATAATTGACAAGCAAATAAACCTTGTCGAATCGGAATATTCTTAGCATTGTATATCATAATATGCAAATATTTTTGATCATATTGAAAGGAAAGCTTTAAAAAAAAACAGAGCAAAATTTTAATTGCCAGAAAAAACCAACATAAAGAAATTATGTACTTGTAATTGAATACTATTGTTCTCTATTGTTGACGATATTGTTTGATCTCCTAAAGAAACAACAAAAAAAAAAAACCGTGTGCGTGTGTTGCTTTTTTTAGTGGACTGAAATCTAATCTTGATATATATATTTGATGAATTCAACGGAAATGATACTATGATAATTAATATCATTTAAAAACATGACATTTTTCCAAAAGAACTATTCATGTTAATACTTGTTATGTTAATATCATTGAGCTCGATGTGAGTTGTAATGAAGTTCGGAAGAAAGATGAATGCCCGTGTACGGAAGTCTATTTTCTTTCTTTCTGCTATTCTCATGAAAAGTTGAGCGATGTTATTAAGAGGCAAACAAGGAGGAGGGACAAGAAAAAGAGAATTACTATTCATACGATAGATGAAGAACGAATAAAGTACAAATCATTCTTTAAGAATGAGTATTTATTCAAGCATTTCTTTACCATCGTTTTTTTTTTCTTCTTGTTCTGTTTTGTCTTTCTTGTTTCCTATACAGTTCATTATAATTTTCCTTATTCTTAACAATAAAGGAAGGAAACAAAAAAACGACAATGACACAAGTGTCGCACAATGTAACAAAAAAAAACAAAATAAACGTGATGAAATAATTACTCCTAATTATCGAACTTTTGTTTACCTTGAGAAATTCGTTCATTATTGAGCAATGTTGGTTGTCTAGAGAAAAACAACAATAAATTCTAAAGATAACTGTTTGTTTGTTTTTTTTTTGTTATAATACCTAATCAATCTTTTAACAATCATATGAATTTGTGGAGATTGAATTGAATTTTGTGTAACTATTCGATTAACATCATTTGAATTAAGATTTTTTAATTTTTCTCCATTCCATTCAAGTATTTGATCACCTAAAATATGTTTTTTTTTAGTTGTTGTTCGTTGTTGTTTTTTTTTTTATTACAAACATACCAATTTGTAATTGTCCATATGTATCAGCTATACTTCCTCGTATTACTTTTGTAATTTCAGTAATAGATTCATTTTCATATTGAATACCCGATTGTATTTTTAAACCTAATGCATTTAAAATATCTTCTGTATGTATTTGTTTTTGTTCGTATTCATATGTTGAAAGATTATTTTTTAAATAAATATAACCAATTTGTTCAGTTCGAGTTTCATTAAAACACCAATATGTTATTGGCTTAAAAAAAAAGAAATGAAAAATAATTTTAATATAAATTTCTATTGAAACTTTTTAATACACATACACAAGACAAACAATATCGAAAAAAATGAAAAAAACCTTTTTAAATCGATCAGATGATATAACATTAAGTATTGTACTTGAACTAGCTGTATCAATTCCTGAATCTTTTAATGTTGATTCTTGACAAGATTCTTTTTCTTCAAGTGAATGATATTGAAAATCTCGTAAAATATTTATTGAATATTTATCTTGTTTTCTTTCTTGTAATAATCGATTTTTATTATCACATGTAGCTATTGATTCAGGTGATGAAATTTCATCATCATCATCATTAGACATTTTTAATTTTGGTAAAATACGTTTTTGATTAGCACCATATTTATTTATTTGATCTTCATTTAATGTTTGAGATAAAATATAATCGGATAAATATTGTTTACATGTATTATTTCTTAATGAAAAATAATGTTCTTGTTTTTGTTTACATTGATTACAAACATAATATTGTGATTTTAAACGAATACCACAACGTACACAAAAATGTTTTTGACATATTGAACATTGACGAGATGATTTTTCATTAACAAATTTTGTTTTTTGACAAATTTGACAAAGTATACCTGATTCATTTAATTGAGAATGATGACGAGAAGATATAGCTTTTGGTGGGGATGAATAATCATTGTCTTGAGATCTAAATAAATAAAAATAATTCTCCTTCTTTTTTTTTTGTTTTCTTTTGAATTAATATTTAATTACTGAATTCTAAATGTATCAAGTTTTTCTTCAACTTTTTGTCGATTAATAACAGCTTCGATTATTTTTTTCTCATCATCGGTTAAATGACTTAAATCAGGTGTTATATCCATTAGAAAGATATTTATTTTTCAAAAATTAAACATCTTTTTTTTATGGAGTCTAAAATCAAAAAAAAAAAAAAAGAACGAAATTATAATTTAGTCAAAAGTGTTTTTTTTTCTGTAAATTATAAATACCATAACCTCCTTTGAAATAACAAGGCCGTCGTTGTTGACCTCATTGTTTTTATTTTTCGAATAGTCCTTTGATATTTCAGGACATCCTATGATCTATAAAAAATAAGAAATTTGTTCAATGTTATATTAAATCTCCAGAGATCTCCAATCAGTTTATATTTGACATTGAAAGCGCAAAGGCTTCACTAGCCATGCTCAGCAGACTACTTCCTGTTCTTGTCTTTGCTTTTATGTTCACCCGCTAGTTTTTCTTGTATGTTAGCTTTATTTCTATTGGTTTAAAAATCCATTATTCTATAGTATTTTCCTCCTATTTTCTTTTTCTATTATTTATGAATATAACTTTTTTTGTAAAATTAAATAATTGTTTCCATGAAAACTAAAATATTTAGTTTAAGGGGTTTTCTTTTTCAATTATAAAAACAATTAAGACGTGTAGGATGTGTTTTATTAAGATATTATTAAATTTAGAATTTTTCAAGCCGCGAGCAAAAAAATATTAATTAATTGATGAACACTAAATATAAATTTGACTATCATATATGATGTTAAGATTATTAGAAAGACATCAGTTAAAACAATTGAAAATGAACTGTGAGAAAGGAAAAGAATGATTGTCTCTCTCTCTTTTTTTTTGTAAATAACTTTGAATAAATCACATATTATTAATCAATATACAATTAAGTAAAGAAGAAAATCCATTGAATAAAGAACATGCTTGATAAGCAATATTGATTGATTCGTTGATAAAAATGATGGATTATAGTTTATTCATACATTAAACAAAATCAAAAGGTCAAGTCATTCTTATTTAATAAAACAATTGATTCAATTAAAATCACGAATTTTTTTTTTCCTTCCATATTAAAATCAAATTAAACAATAAGATTATCTATATAATTAGATTTGATATCAATCTTTTAATTTTTCTATCCATATGAATACACATGTTTTCTTTTTCCTTGTTTAATAACATATTTAAAAATCCAAATGATGATTCATCATAATTTTATTTCTCACCAAACAATCCGATAAATCGAGACAGTTGAAAAAAAAAAAGAAAAGAAAAAAAAAAGGTGAATATACGTATAGGACGATATCCAATAGCCTAAATAGATGTGACACGATAACATCACCTATATATTCATTCGGCTTGTCTGTTTGTTTTCAACATACCTTCGAGCAATGGCTTTTTCGCTTTTATTCTAATGTGCACGTTAAATATATGCGTATATTCATTGACTGATGACTATCCCCTCTATTCACCTATCTATTCATTATTATCTTTTCGACCGGTGAAAAAAAAAAATCCATGCTTGAATGCATCCAATATTAAAGCTGGTTGTGACTTGAGAGGGAGAGAGAGCGAGAGAGCGAGCGAAACAATTGTTGAAATGGAAAAAGAAAAAAAAAAACGAAACGAAACTACTACCTATAAATACAAGTACAAATACATTGGTATACATGCATATATATTATTTCAAAAAAACAGTAAGTTTAATAAAACGAAAGCATTATTCAAAGAGATTTTGTGATGTCGATTATTAAATTCACATTCTCTTTCAATAGTGCCTTTGTCGATATATAAACTACAGACATATTCTATATATCTATATATATATATATACATCAAATAAACTAAATAAAATGAGTTTAATAATATAATTTTGTTTTTTTCTTAGAAATTAATATTAGATATTATATCACAACCGAACATATAATGAAAGTTTAGATTAATTGTCTTCATGAATTAAATATCCACCAAATGTTGTATAACGCCAACCGTATAATGATGTTTTAAAATTATAATCACCATCTTCACGTGATTGAGCTCGAATATAAACTCGATCACCTTTATTTAAAAATAAAACAATTGTTGTTGATGCTGTATTCCAAACAGGTACTTTTTGATTTTTAACAGCTGTTAAATAACCTTCAACCCATAATGGTACAACATTTTCTGCATTTTTACATAAAGATACAGATGCCTAAAATCAAAATAAAAAAAGAAAAAAGAAATGAAATCTAAAATACAATAAAGAAATACAACATACAATTTGATTAGCTGGTACACAAACAGTTAAACTAAATTCATATAAACCATTTATTGGTGCATAATAAATACCCGTATTATTATTAAGATTATTATTTTTATTTAATAATATATCATCCCAAATGATTATAGATGAATCTGTTTGTAAAAAATATGTGTTATTTAATGCAGCAAAAAAAGCAGATTTTATATTTGAATAACCATCACGACCTTGAAAGAGAAAAAAAAATCATTCCGTTTAAGAAATAAAATAGTTTTACCTGGTGGTCCCGATAAACCTGGTGGACCACTTGGACCTTGCATGCCTTGTTTGCCCGGTGGGCCAGGTGGTCCTCAAAAGAAAGATTTCTTTTATTTTAATTTTTGATCTTTTCTTGAAAAAACCTACCAGCTGGTCCTTGAATATCAAGTGTAACTCGATTTCTTGAATCTAAAAAACATTATATTTAAATAATTGAATAAAAAGAAATTTTTTTTTCTTTATTTTCTTACTTGGACAATTAATATGTAATTTACATTGATTAGCCGATGATCTTATTGGAGTATTTCCATACGGTGATGCAATTGAAGAATATGATTGTTGAGAATTTGGATACATATTACTATCTGGATTTCGTTTATTTAAATAAGTTGAAGGTGTTTGCAATTGTTTTTGTTGAGATTGTGCTTGTCGATGTCCATAATAATCATATGATGATCGTGATGGATATACATAAGAATTAGAATCAACCGGTGGTATAGGCGGATCTGCTATAATTACCGATAAAGTAAGAAATTCAAAGAATAAAACGTAGTAAAACATCATTGACACTGAAATATAAAAGAAGACAAATAATCATAACAAGAAGAAGATTGACAAATTTATGAGTTATGCTACTATGAATAGTATGTGTAGCACAACAGGTGGTGGATGCATGTATACGTATGAAATCAAAAGATGAAATCAAATGACGTAAAAAAAAAAAAAGAAATTATATAGAATGATCGTTTAAGTTAAAAGATACGTTGAAATTCTTTTTTTTTCTTTCTGTCTTGTTATAAAAACTTCAAACTTCTATATATGTGTACTATAAATTCATATATACATAGATCCATTTGTCACAATTGTTAATTAATATTGACATACTAACACATATGCTTACTCTATAAAATAACTTTGGTAAATATAAGAAATCATCTACTTTATTTCCTGTCCATAAATAGTGTTAGTTTGATTTCGGCTGAAATGTTTACAAAGAATAATCGAACACTAAACCTACTTGATCAATTATTGAACAAAATAAAAGACCATAATAACTTTAAATATTATTTTTCATGTTGACGTTATTTATACTAACGGCAACGATTGCATCGGAATGTAGAGAAAAAAGAAAGAAACCTGAAAAAAATATAAAAAAAAAAAAAGAAAAATCATTGTTTAGATTTCGAGAAAAAGAGAAAATGTGTTTAAGATCGATCTTTTCCTCTTCTCTTCTCTTTCTAAGTCTATTATATGTGAATGGGCAGTCAAAACGATGATGGAAAAAAAATAGAGAAAGGAATAAATGTAAATAATACACCTTTATTTTCATCATGTTGACTTCCGATTTCTGAAAAACTATTCTTTATATACGTGCTTTTCTCGCATAAATTGCTAATAAGTCTATTAACGAGATTTGATATGAAGAAAAAAAAAAAAAAAAAGAAAAGAAAAGAAAAGAAATCGAAGGTCAATTCCACATCTATCTAGATTACCAACCGAATTATTTCTCTTGTATGAATAGATGGTATTAATTTTTTCTCTTTTTATTTTGACAAGAATATATAGACATTACTAAATAAAGCATGATCATATGTACACACTTCAATGTCATTTAAGTTAATAGAGATTTTTCATTCACTTATGGGTATTCGTGCTTGTTAATTAGACTGTATCGAACGATAAAGCATCCGAAAAAATGCTATCTTAATGAGCAGAGGATCTCTTTTAAATGCTACATGTGTTCTCTCATCATATATTCCTCTCGGCAACAAAAAAAAAAGAAGAATGGAAAAAAATAATTTTTCCTATTGTATTCATCAATCTATTCAAGGACAAAAGCATCTGTTTTTTTTTCCAATATATTTCAATGTATAAGAAGACAAAAAAAAAACTCTCATCGAATAGTTATAGGAAAATCATTATTAGTAAAACGTCAATTCGTTTTTTTCATTATACATGAATAATTCATTAATAACAAAAAGAAAAAAAGACTATTTTGTCCTATGAACCGAATAATTATAAAAAGAATATTTATCAAGTTTGAAGAGATTTTTTTTTCTCTCTTTTAACTAAAACATGGTTCAATGCATTCGCGCACGAGTTCTTCAAGATAATATTGATCGACATCATCAAAATGAGCTTCATATTCACTATCGATATCCAATACTCCTAATACTTGTGTTTGTTCATCATTTGATGATGTTCGAATAACAGGCACTACAATTTCAGATAATGAAGCCGATGAACAAGCTACAAGATAAAAAAAAAAAGCAAAAGCTTTTGGAATATAAAAAATATTTATTTTCATACCAATATGACCAGGAAATTCATGAACATTTTTAACGACAATTGTTTTACGTTGTCCCCAACTTGTACCACAAACACCTTTATTTAATTGAATTCTTGTACAAGCTAATGGACCCTTCGAAAGAAAATAAATTAATCATAAGAACCAAAAAAAAAAATGTCTTTTATTTAATAATCTTACTTGAAATGGACCAAGTACCAATTGATTATTTTTAACTAAATAAAAACCAACCCACCAAAAAGAAAATATTTCTTTAAGAATAGCACTAATATTAGCAAGATTTGCTATTAAATCATTTTCATGTTGAATTAAATGTTTTATTTCAATTATTATTTGTTTATATTTTTCTTCTTTTGAGGTATTTTTATCAATATGATTTAGACTTTCGGGCATTGTTTTATTATCTAATATGACCTTTCATATACTATTTTATCTCTTTTCTTTTATAAGCAAGAAAAAAGAAAAGAAAGATTTTTATTCATTGGATGAATTTTTATGAAATCATTTTATTTGTAAGTCAAAATTTCGATTTAACATTATTCTAATTTTTCTATAAAAATCAAAAAATTGAACATGCAATCAATGTATATTGACAATGTTTTATGTTCGTATACGAAGTAGTTTTTTTTTTCTTTCAAATTACTATTTGTTGATGTTGTTGCTATAAGTGAAGGTTTAAATATTTGATCAATAATAACAGTCGCTGTTGGTGGTAGTAATCTCATATTATCATACTGTGTGATGTAATGAATTTTGTTTCATTTTTATTATTTGATATTGATTGTAATGAAAAATTTGAAGATTTTTCAATATGTTTAGAAATGATTTATTTATTTCTTATTTTTTTCATTATTTGAAGTTGATTTTTCTTTTTGTCTTATTAAATCAATTGATAATAAGTTTGCTCGATTAGATATACTTTTTTTTTCCAATAATATGTAATGGTAAATTAATAAATATATTTTTGAATGATATTGTAGAAAATTATGATTATTGAAATGAATATTAAATTCATCGAAGAAGAAATCATTTCGATTTGAATCTTGAATATAGTTTAACCTTGAATGACATCGAATATTTAATAAAGATGTTATTATGATTGGTACAAAAATTGGAATTAATAATGAAAATTCTGCTTGAAACTATGAAATAAAAAAAAAAAAGGTTTAATCTTGAAAGCAAAACAACAACATTTATTTTTTTTCTTCTTCGATTAAAATTCAAGTAGTTCTTTTTTTTTAAGTATCGTTTGAAATATATTTCAAGAATAAAAGTGAAACGATTTCAATGAATACAATTGTATTTTACTTTTTACCTTACAATAGTTCATAGAAATGCTTGAAATTCTATTCTCACCCAATTTTCACATTATAGAATGTGCTTGTCTAAGAATTTCTTTAGCAAAAAATCTGTTCGTGAAGACTTTTTCTTTTAGTAGAGATCAATTTATCTATTTTGATTTCTAAAAAATCCTCAAAAGACTATGTGTATTTTTTTTTTTCATTGAATATATATATATAAAAATAAAGAATCTTTCTAACAAAATATAGTGCTGATTACACATACAAATGATAAACGATGTGGAAGAAAGAACTCGTTTATCAATAAGCAGGATATAGTGTAAATAGGATAAAGCATTAAAAAAAAAGCGTAACAATGCAGCAAAGGAAAAATAAGTGTCAAGAGGTTATGCGTTGATGATGCTGGTGGGAAGCATCACGAATAATAATGTTGCCAGAAGTAGGGTCACGCAAACGCACCACTGGTTTCATATGATGAGGTCTTTCGATTTTGTTCGCATATTCACGAGCCTAAAATATATAGAATATTTTATGCTAATATAAAAAGAATCATTCATTCGATCGAATAATATCGATATAGAGAGAACAAAATAAAGACAATAAATAAGTTCTATAGAAAATAGTTAAGCAAGCAGGAAATTAAATATCTAAATGAAAATTACTAAAAGCGAGGTATATCAATTGACATATATATATATATATATATATAAATTAAAGCAGATGAATAATGAAATATTTTATTCAAAGAATATTTTCAATTGAGATCATGTTAATATTTGATTATTCGTTGAAATTTTCTCACCTGTTGTATTGACAAAAAGTGAGATCTAGTTGCATGAAACTGCAAATATGTATGATTATATATAATTACAAACAAATAATTAGTTTAAAAAAAAAACATATTAAATAATTCATTCTATTAAATATAAACATAACTTAGAAAAAAAACAAAGTTTCATACCCGTTGATGTTTAGGTACGGGTGCTGGACGATTCTTTTTTGGTTCTTGTTGATTTTGAATACGTTTTTGTTCTTCAATTTTATATTGATTTGTATCATGTACAACTTTTGAATAAGTTTTTCTTCTATGTTCAGTATCAATCTAATTTAAAATAATTTTTAATCAACAAAAAAAAACAAGAGTGAATAAATACAAAAAAAGAAAAATAATTTCGAACGAACTTTATCGTCGTATGTTTGATTATTTGTATTTCCAAAAGCAGGACCAAAACCACCATTTCGTGCAAAACTTCGATATTCACTAACTACTGATTTACGACCTAATTTTTCATCTTGTAAACGACGTTGATGATATTTATATGCATTTGTATAACTACCTGAATTAAACAAATAATTAAAAGGTTTCTTTAATAAATCAAAAATTATATTTATTTTTCTTTCTAACCAGGATCAGGTACAGACAATCCATAAAGATAATCATGAACTTTAAAATTATTTCCATCATGACTATGTTTACTTTCATCTGTCTGATCATGATGTTGACTTGACAGAGGTGTTTTAGATTTTGTTTGAGATTTATATGGATCAGGTGTATGAGTATAATGTGTATAGGAAGCAGCATTTGAAACACGACTATTTCTTTCAGATATATTTTCATTAATAACTGTTGATGGTGTTTGACGATTATGATCAATTATTTGTACATGTCGTTTTTGATTTATTGGTGGACGATTCTTTTGAGAATTTTTTGAATATGTTAAACTACGATTAAACATTTGTTGTTTTGATTGACCATAATTAGAATTTTTATCATATGATTCATATCCATTATTAGGATGTACACTGATGGTTAAATTAAGACCATCTTCTGGATTAGTATAATCACCATATAGACTGTTTGTTTGTTGATAATAAGAAGGACCGGATTGCATAGAAAGATTTCCAAGTGATTGATAATTTTGTTGTTGTTGAGACATAATAACAGGTCCTACTCGTGAATAATTTGTTGATAGAGGATAATTACGACGAATGTTTGTTGAAGGAACATATGAAGGAATATATCGTGAATTATACGTTGTACCATTCCATAATGTCTGAATAAATGAAATAGAAAACAAATATATACATATATATATTTATATGTAGTGTCGGATAGAAGTTTCGAGTAGTTGGGTTTTTAAGCTGTCTTCTCGATAGTAATAGCTAGCAAGAATCTGAAAAAACATTTATGTAACTGAAAGAATTCTCTATTATGATTGGTAGATTCGAAGATACCAACAAAACTGCTTGGATGAGAGTCTGTGGAAAACCCAAACTAGTTTTTTGACTTTCATTCGAAGACTTTGAAAAAAGATTTTATTTGATAGAGCAAAATGAGACATCTTCAACCTTCTTTCATCGAACTGTATTCAATTTACATAAAGCCGAAGAAACATTTTTGTTTTGTTTTTATTGGAAATTCAAATATTTTTACCATGTTTGACACTTTGGAGCTTTCTATAAATTGAATGCAATTCAATGAAAGAATGTCGGAGACATCTCAACTTGCTCTATTAAATAAAATCTGTTCTCAAAAGCTTCGAATGAAAGCCAGAAAGTTGATTTTGGTCTTCTGCAAACTCTCCTCCAACCAATTTTATTGAAGTCCTCAAATCTGTCAATTCTAATAGAGAATCCTTTCAATTACACGAATGTTTTTTTCATATTCTTGTTAGCTATTATAATCGAAAAGAAAACTTAAAAATACAACCGCTCGAAAATTATGCTCGCTATGACACATATATATTAGCGTCCAAATTGAGATTATGTCCCATATCAGATTGAAGAGAGAAATCGATGTAAAAACACGACCGAATTTGTAGATCGATGTTGTATTCGGATGCTTATCGATAAATTGATAAGAAGCAATGAAGTATTGCTCTCTGTAGGTCATCAATAAGCATCAAAATACAACATCGATTTACATACTAATGTCCGCGCTAGAATTAAAGTGAACCACGTCTTTTTATTTGTTATTATACCAAAAAACTCATCATCTTCATGAAACATTCAATGGTGTTTCGTTCCAAGGAAATTTCGATAAAAAGTCAGAAAATTTGCTAAAAAAATCAACAAAATTCTATATAATTTGACCGATTAGATATGAAAAGATAATTACGTGAATTGTGTTTCGAATTATAGATCTGAAGCTCGTATCAAAATAAAAATTACATTGAAAAATTCATGCGTTTTTAATTCGAGCGCAAATATTAGTTCGAGTTTCCACCTCAATGTCACTCTCAATTCAAGATTGGAAATAATCTCACATTAGACGCTGCCATATATTTATTTATAAGTATTAAAATGAATAACATAAACAAAGTAAATGTTTTTGTTTTATTTTAACTTTATCTTACTCACCCAATGTGGACCTGATGTTGGTATGTCAGATAAATGTGAAGTACTAAAAGTATGAGGATAAATTGATGAAGTTGTTACCGATGGTAATTTCCATGTTGGTGTTAGAAAAGAATATTCTGCTTCAAGTGTATTCATTTCTTTCCAATACTATTGCTACAACATACATAGAAAACAAGACAATCTATGTGTATGTTCACCTATTTAACGTTACTCTTCAAATGTGTGATGGATTATGTTTACTTTAAAGGAAAGGAAGCCTTCTATACAGAACGTTTCTACACTGTCCAATAGTTCTCATCTTAAATTTGATGAAATTGTTGACATTGAATTTTGAAAGAAGAAAAACAACAACAACGACATTACATGAAAATATTATTAAACTAAGGAAAGAAATTTTCAATTGTTCATATTTGAAAAACAATAAATACATTAAGATTAATTAAATTAATTTCTTAATTAATATCATGCTGTTATTTAATAATGTCAATAGTGAAAAATTTTGAAAACAAAAAATACAGAAGAGCCAAGAAAGCAGTAAAAGTGTATGTCAAGAAATCAAACAGAACGATCGCGAATACCCGACTAACTTTAAATTATGTTGATGTAAAAATGTATCATAGCGACGTTAAAAGAAGAAAATTTTTCTTTTTCTTTTTCTTTTTTTTTCTTCTTCTTCTCTTCTCTTATTGAATAAAAACAAAAAGTTTTTGTGTATTGTTTGTTCACATTTTTGTTTTTAAAGTAATATGATAAAAAAGAGTTTTTTTTTTACAAAATTATCAAAATGTATACGTTAAGAATAGTAAAATGATTATTTATTATTTTCTCTGTAAGCATTTTCTTGTTTTCAATTAACATAACAAATGAAATCCTTAATTTATGCATTATATTAAAACAAAACAAGACAAAAAGGAAAAATTCATACAAAATATATATATATATATATAATTGTTCTCCATAAGTATTCTTATCGTTTTTTATATCGTGCACCTTCAAATGATTCAAGTGTTTTTTCTTCACGTACAGTAAATAAATCATCATCAATATCACGATTTCTTGTACGTATTGTTCGTTGACCATGATTAGTAAATTCATTGTCATTTTCATCATCACTATTTGTTGTTGTTCGTCCATTTGCATAACGTACATTTTTTTTCTTTAGCGGTTGTTTATTATTATATTTATAATTTGATAGATCATCATCGTCATTTTCACCTTGACGATTGATATTTGATCGATCAGTACGCATTGTTGTACGACTTGTTTGGTTTGGTATTGATCGATTACCACCACGGATACCTATTTGTTTTGGATATATTTTATGTGTTGTTGATCCTGAACCAGGTCGTTTTGATGTACGACTAATAGATTTTGAATCACTATTATTCATTCGTTGACGTGGTGTTTCATTACCGGAATCAAATTCCTATTTATATAGAATTAGAGAATGATTAAAATAAAAATTTAAAAATAACCTGACTATCATCTGTCAGAGGTGCAGAATCACGATATGATCGATTTGCATCAGCACCATAACTCATAGCAAAATTTCGATATCGAACTCGTTCACCATATGATTTTGATTGATTATAAAGTTGTTTCTATTTATAGAAAAAAAAAACATATTATCGTATATATATATATTTTTTTTCTTAAATTAATTAATAAACTTTTTCTTCTATTGAAAGTGAATAAAGATTTCCTTTTTTAAGATCCATAAAATCAGACCATGGAGATGGTTTAACAGCATTTTGAAGTAATTCATCTTTCGTTGAATGTCGAACATAATCACCATAATGTAAACGTTTAGCTGTTTTTTCATTCTACAAAATAAAAAAATATTTTCTATGAAAATATTTACGAAAGAAGACAAAAAACAAATTAATTTATTTTACTATGTCTTTCTGGTGTTGTTCAGCACGATCTGCACGTAATTTTTGAAGAGCTTCACGAAAACGTTCATCAGTATCTTTTTGAACATAATCACGATGAGTTAAGTCATTATATAAATAATATGGGTACAATGAATCATAATGATACTAAAAACAAAACTGAAAAATAAATTTAATATATAAAAATAATCTTACTTGTATTGGCCATTGTTTTCTCCATGATGTTGTTGTAATTGTTGGTTGTGAACGTTTTGTTGTTGTTGTTGTTGGTGGTTCATAATGAGTTGTTTTTCGTTGTGAAACATGCTTGGAATTTTGATTATCTTGAATTTAAAAAAAAAAAGAGAATTTCAATAATAAGTTAATTAGTAAGAATAATTTACTTAATGAACTTGCTAATTTATTTTTTGTTGGCTTTGAATGATGAAAAGATGAATTTATAGAATAATTATTTGTTGAAGGTTTTCGAAAATAATTTCCTTCAAAAAGTGTATCAAAATATGAATCATGTTGAATTTCATATGTTGGTTCACGAGATTTCGTATCATTTATGGGTTTTGTTTTATTAACAAATGGACTATTATCAACTTTTTTTGGTCCATTTGGTAATGCACGTAATGATTTTGTTTTGTCTTTTTCATGTTGAACTTGAGCCATATGCAATTGACCAATTTTAATTGACCATGCTTGTTCAGCTTGTTTTTCATCAATCGGTGATTCTTTTTTTGTTTCATTTATCCATGCTTGAACATCGATTGGTAGTGGTTGTTTTTCAACATCAGCAATTACTGCATTTCGTTGAAGATGATTTTGTTGTTTTGTTAATGCTAATGGTGGTTGTGGTGATTGAACTGGTGTTATATCATCATTTAATTTATCAATTGAAGTATCTTTATGTGCACCGGTTGTAGGTTGTGTTGGATTTTTAAGTATTGGTTTTTTTTTAATTTCATCTGATTGTCCTTTCTTTTTTGTTTCTGGTGAACTCCAAATAGATTTATGTTGTCGATTATTATCAACATCATTTAATATTTGATTATTATCTTGTTGATGATGTTTAAATATATTTATTGGACCATTAATATTATTATCATTTATTGAACGAGCTACACTTGATGCTGTATTTGTATTTGATGCTGTTACAAGACTTTCAGAATATTCAGTTATATCATTTAATGAAGCAAATGAATCATTTGGTGGAACAGGTCTATGAAAATTATTTATTGTTGAATTTTGATAATTTGTTGTAGGAAAAACAGATGTAGAATTTGAAAGTGAATATAATGGTGGATGATATGTCGGTATATCATGAGTGATTTGATTAAATGCTAAATCATCACTTAATAATCGATCTGTATTTCCATAAGGTACTGATGGTTGATAAATATTATCATAAGATGAACGTCTAACAAGATTATCACTAAGTAATGTTGATGTACCATATGATGATGGATATGCAGCTAGTAGGCTTGTTGCGTAGCTCATGATGTTTCGTTTTTCTTTTCTTTTTTTTCGGTGTCGATTAATAAAGCAAACAGTGTTGTGCAAACCTTTTTTTTTTCTCTTGAATTTTGTGTACATGTGTTTGTATTATTCTCGAAAAAAAAAATACAAATCCTTTTAACGTGAGATGTATGTGCGCTTTTGTCGATTGAATCAAGTTGATTTAAACGGAATAGAGATGAAAACATGAAAACTAAATGTTTATTATGTTTTAAAAAAAAAATGCCTATTGCTTATTTCATTCAATGTTTTGATTTTTGATTTAAACAATAAGAAAAAAAAATAAGAATTCAAAAGTTCCTTGTTCTGTCCTTCGAATAGAAAAGGACGAAGAAGTATTGTTTTGATCACGTATGATCGAATATGCATTGCTCTTTGTTCAATATTGATGATCAAATTACACACTCAGTCAATGACTATTTGTTGTGTCCGCCTTATTTCCAAGGTCTTAATGTGTAAACTTAATAGTTAAGATGCCTACTTTTGTTTTGTCCAACTGACGAGACAGACAACGTGATCAAATGACCTCAACTGCTACGTCATCAAATCTATGTGAAGAAGTAACGAAATATGAGATGTGAAAAACAAAAAAAAAAAGAATAGTCAATTATTTGAAAATGTCTGATTGTCACCGATCTTTTCGATTGCATTCGTCATTTTTTAAAACAGAGACAGACAGTTCAATTAACATGATCGTATTTGGTCTTTACTTTATCATTACAATACATCTTGCTTATAGTCAAGGTAATAAAATAATAATTAAATATATTTTATGAATAAATAATTTTCTAATAGATATTTGTAATACAATTAATTGTGGTACGGGTGTTTGTATATTAACACTAAATCCTTCATTACCTTATTATTGTCGATGTCCTAATGGTAAAAATACAATATTACCATGTCCATCTGAAAGTTTGTTGAAAATGTTTCGAAAAATAATATTCATCTAGAAAAAAAAAGTCTTTTTTCTTTTCAATAGATCCATGTTTAAGAAATCCTTGTGGATTAGGTTTATGTGAAATAGTACCAAGTTTAGCTCATGGATATATTTGTCGATGTCCTGGTGATATTATTTCATTAACACATTGCAATGGTAGATAATTTTGTTGTTTGATATGAATTATTTTTTCTAGAATAAGTAACATCTTTTTTTCTTTATATATAAATATATATACATATAGTTACACGTACTGGTTGTTATTCAAATCCTTGTGTAAATGGTTTATGTATTGAAGGTTTAGCAAGTTATTATTGTAATTGTTTACCGACATGGACTGGAAAATTATGCAATGGTATTTAAATATAAAAAACAAAAAGAATTTTTTTTTTTAAAAACGTTTTATTTATTATTTTATAGAAAAAATCATTTCACCTTGTTCAAAAAGTCCATGTAATCCGGGCAAATGTTTTCAACTTGATGATCGAAATTTACCATTTGTTTGTTTATGTCCAAATGGACAATTTGGTTTATCTTGTCATAGTAAATGTGTTTTTTTTTAAGTTTATTTCATTAAATTCATAATGTCTTTTGATTTAAGCTTTTGCATATCCATCTTCGACTGCTCGAATGTTGACGACTATTACAAGTACAACTACACGTTCACCTTATACATGCAATCCATCGGATCCTCAGGCTTGCATGAATGGCGGAAAATGTTTACAAATAACACTTAGTCATCGGTGTTTTTGTACTCCAGGTTTTACTGGTACTTTTTGTGAAACGAGTAAGTTATAAAG